ACTCTTTCCATTGCCAAACTTTCTCTCTGGTGCCCTGCAGGAGCTGGACTACCTGCAGCAGGTGTGGGAGATCACGAAAGATTGGGAAGAGAACTGGAACGAGTGGAAGACAGGAAGCTTCAAGACCCTGCAAACTGAAGTGATGGAAACCATAGCGTATGGGCTCTTCCGGAAGCTCAACAAGTTGAGCCGGGAGCTTAAGGTAAGAAAGAGGCTCCCTTGGCCTGGTGCTGCTGGCCAATCCCCTTGTGGTATATGGAAAGGGTTTTTAGGGAGGCAATGGCAGGGGGAACTGGGGAACTTTGGGGGCAGCAGAGAAGGGGGTTTCCCAGGAGGTCACCAGAGAGGCTCTGTGGGACTGTGCTGGAAGGACCAATCGGACTGGTGCAGCTGCAGGGCTCTTGTTTCCTGTCCTCATTAGACCTGGTGCAGAGGCTTAGCCAGAGCAGCGCACTGGGAGCACGATCTCTTCTTGTGCACCAATGCGTGAAGTTTTGTGTGGGTGTGATGCATGTCAAAGGCATGCTGGGGGACACCCGAGTGAGTATTCCCCCCTCCCTGCTGATCCCTGCCCCCCAAAACTGGTGTTGCTTTCCAATCAAAGGATCGGAACTGGGAGATTATCGAGACTTCTAAGGTGAAGATTGAGCAGTTTAAGAGGACAATGCCCCTGATCTCAGACCTCAAGAACCCGGCTTTGAGGGAGAGGTAGGTACGGCTCATGTGCAGACTCTGCATGCATTTTGCTGGCCCAAACCTCTGGGGCTTTGGAGAGGCTGTACTGCCCTCTGGAGAGTGGCTGAAAGCTGCTCCTCCGGGGAGCAATATATGAGATCCTGTGTGCCTGGGGATCTGTCAGTGATGCAGCAGGATCCCACTGATTATATGAATAGTCCTCTGCCTCTCCTTAGCTCTTGTCATCTGAGGAGCTCATAGACCTTAGCATGCATTTAAGAAAGTTGTTTCCCAACCCCTTTATGACGTGGGTAAATTCGCAGTTGCTGTGAGGCATAGAAAAGGAAAGGGAAATACCTAAGCTCATAGAGTGAGAGTGGTAGTCTTGGGAATTGAACCCCAGAGGCCTAAGAGCATCCTCTCCTCCCCCCCAGTCCATTCCCCAACAGGAAAGAGAACCCAGGAGTCCTGGCTCTTCCCCCCTGCTCTGACCTACCAGCTCCTACTCCCTTCCCAGAGTGGAATTAGAACCCCAAACTCCTGACTCCTGGTCCCTCCCCACCTCTCTAACCACCAGACCTCAGCCCACTCCCAGCGTGGGATTAGAACCAGAGATTCTTCTTCAAGATGGCTGTCCCTGTGGGTGATCCACCTTAGGTGTCTGAGCACTGCTGTGCTTCTAATCGGATATTTTATGTAGCAGTGCCCACGGTCGGCTGTGCATGCAGAGCTGCTGGTGCGTGACATTTGAAATGGCTACTCTGCATGCCTTCAGTTCCTCTTCTACCGCCATTGGCTTCGGTTGGAACCCAGGAGTCTCTCTCAAGTGTGTGTTAGTGTTAGATAGTTATTAGCAGCAGTTTTTCTTGGTTATTATCATTTTAATAGTTCACAGTTTATAGTGTAATTTTTTTCCTTAGGACAGCTAGTTTTAGGCTTTTACAGGTCCTACATTTCAGCAGCCATTTTTTTGCGGGGACAAGCCTGGTTCACCTGGTTTTAAAAGGTGTATAATCTGCAGGCTGTCCATTCCTGTTTCAGATGTTCGCTGCTTGGGTGAGGAGTACCATCTACCCACCCAGTGCTCCCAAGGAGCTAACCTCAAGGACCAGGAAAGCCAGGGAGCTTCAGTTAAAAATGATGCTCCTTTAGAAAATGGTCCAACCTGCTTTTGACCCAGATCACACGACACCACCCAGGCAACCATCTATTGGCACAGCTTCCAAGAGAGCGGCTCCTGCATGGTCGAGCCCCAAGGACTCTGGGCTCAGGTGTCCAAGAAGAGATCCCACTCCTCTTCAGGGGCTGACTCCCCTTTTCCCCTCGAGGAAATGCTCTCTGTACAAAAAAGCTGCCCTGGCATTGGCTGCACCAAAGGTGCTGGAAAAGCAAGCAGGTGGCAGCTCCGGCACCAACAAGTGCCGAGACTCCAAGAAGAAGGCTCAGTCCTCCTCCAGGGCACTGACAAATGCTAAACAGAAGCCCTCTATGTTGGCATCAGCCATTATCAGTGGGAAATAGGTCAATGGAGGGATGATAGGAGTTATTATAGAGAACTTTCTGGGTGTCTGGCTGGTGAGTCTTGCCCACATGTTCAGGGTTTAGCTGATCTCCATATTTGGGGTCGGGAAGGAATTTTCCTCCAGGGTAGATTGGCAGAGACCTTGGAGGTTTTTCGCCTTCCTCTGTAGCATGGGGTACAGATCACAGCTGGAGGATTTTCTGCATCTTGTGGTCTTCAAAGTATTTGAAGGCTTCAATATCTGAGATATAGGTGAGAGGATTATTCTAGGAGGGGTGGGTGAGATTCTGTGGCCTGTACTGTGCAGGGGGTCAGACTAGATGATCATAATGGTCCCTTCTGACCTTAAAGTCTATGAGTCTATAAGGCACCATTGGCACCAACTGCGGTGCCAACCAAATCTCGTTTGGCATTGGCTCTGAGCGCTACCATGCCATTTCCCACACAGCTGGCACCTGTGACACAGATGAAACAAGCAGCACTGATCCCTGCCAAGCACCCCGCACTGGCAGTTCAGCCTACACTGCCACAAATCGTACTGATACCAGTGTTGTTGCCTTCCATGTTGGCACCACAAACATTCACTGCCGTTGCTGAACTCCTAGTCTCCTCAATGCTGGGGATGCTGCTCTTTGGCACTGATGGCACCCCAAACACATCCCATTTTAGTGTGTTGTGTACCCCCGCAGGATCGGCTCAACCACTGTCAAGCAACGATGACGAGCCTCTTGAGGTACATACCCCAAGGCATTCTTCACCTAAGCCAAGCAAACAGCCTCTGCAGTGGCAACCACCTCAGTGGCTGCCTCCACTAATCCCTCCCAGCTGGCCTTATTGGGACCCATGGGTGCAGCAATTACAACAGCCACAACATCCTTCCCAGCAACCAGGTCCCAGGCACCCACCACTCAGTTGCCTGACCAATCCGTCTCCAATGCAGAGGAGGAGGAGGTTGATGTGACGGGTGAGGAGCAAACACCTGACTCGCCCCCACCCACCCACCTGTCGTCATCATCTCCTGATGACACAATCTCCCACCTCCAACTGTGGGGGATGATTTCAAGTCATTCCAGGAGCTTTTCAAGAGAGTGGCAGACTCTCTAGAAATTCTGTTATCAGCTATGCCAGAAAATCAGCATAAGCTGATCAATATACTGCATGCCTCTCCGCATGGTAGACTTGCACGCCCCATGAATGACGCCTTGATGGATCTAGCGAAAACTATCTGGCAGATATCCGCCATAGTACCCCTGACATGCAAGAGGTTGGATGAAAAGTATTACGTAGCCCCCCAAAGAGGCAAATTTCTTATTCTGGCCCTTCTCCCCAAATTCTCTGGTGGTGGACACGGTTAACCAGCAGGGTAGACAACAAATACACACACACACCTCGCACAACCTCTTATGACAGGGACTGGAAGAGATTGGACTTTTTTGGCAGGAAGGCCTACCCTTCAGCCAGCCTGCAACTCAGAATTTCCAATTATACGGCACTTCTGGCAAAATACACTCACAACATTCTTCTTTGAGTGATGTCCCCATGGGTGCTCCATATCAGGTGTAGGGACATCCTGGAGCCTTGGAGCAGAGCTTTTTCTAGCAGTGCCTACGAGCTGTGCATGTGTGAGGAAAGCTTCGTGCTGTGCTCTGCTTGGCGCCTTGCACGTGTGGCTCGCCCTTCCTCCTCTCAGTTCCTCTTCTCCTGTCCTCTGTCTCAGATGGAGTTCTTTGTTCTCCTCAGCTTCTCCTCAGGAGGAGCGAGAAACCTCCCTGGTTTCACTCTCCCTATCTCCTCTCACCTGCCCTCTCGTTTGGCTTCATACTATTAAAGAAAAAAAAAAAGGGGGGGGGAAGAGAGAAAGATTTCTGTCAGCCTCTCACACAGTACCAACTTCAGCGGGCGCCCGCATGCAGGCGGCCACTAACCTCGCTGCTTCCTTCTCTCAGCCGCTCTCTCGCTGTACCTTAAAAAACAAAACAAAAAACAAAAGAAAGAAAGACAAATGAAACAAAACCGCAACTCATATGTTAACGGCAGTAACGGCTACAGGGGCAGCCCTCAATAGAACACTGGTGGAGAGCCTGTCAGAAGCTGCAATGCCTAGCTAACTTGGCTTTAAGAAATGTCATTCATGCCAGGAGCCCCTGCCAGTTTCAGATAAACACGTGGATTGCATCTGCCGTCTTGGGGAGACGCATGTTCCCCACAAATGTGAGCTCTGCCGCTCTCTCACAGCAAGAGCGAGGAAAGACAAAGATGATTTTGCTGGACAAGGCAATGCAGCCTAAGTGCTCTCAGGGCTTTTCACCAGCAGCATAACTTGCCAGGAAAAGGGCCACCTCACCAGCACCAGTGGCACTGCCAAAAAGGGGACAATGTCCAGCTAAGTCCCTGCCCCCAACTCCATCCTTCCGAGTGTCGGGAGTGGATTGGTCGAGCACCCCCCGCACCGGCGAATCCAGTGCCACAAGCAGCATTGTGATCTCTCAGGCACGCTCAGCTTTGGTGCCGGGAAGATCAGTCTTGGCACCGGAGAGCACTTCCCAGCATCCATGCACACCGGTGCCAGCAGCAACAACAGACGCGGCACAGATAATTACGCCACGTACAACCACGTAGCCTGTTAGAAGGGAATGGGGTTTGGAAGTGAGCTTGTCCACCTCCAGCTCTATGCTGCCCCCTAAAGAGACTCCAGAGGAGCCTCAGCAGGATGCACGTGAAAGTGACAGACCACAGCTTTCACCTATGTGCTCCAGACGGGCTTCCCCCATGCAGCCCTCCCCAGGGCTCTCCCTACACTAGCCAAGATCTCCGGCATTATCTGAACGAGAGGCTATCAGGCGGGAGGACCAATACAGTGTCTTCTCATCACAACACTCATCCCCTACTACATCTTGTCACCCTTACTACTTCCAGGGTAGACTAATATACCCAACCTGGTACTTGGAGTACCCGTACCCTCCACCGTACAACCCGCCTTGCTGGGCGCCATGGGATCACTGGGGCGTACGGAAGAGACATCCTGCATCGTCCTCTGCCTCAGGGAGATTATTTCCACCCTCCTTGCCTCAATCTGTACTGTCAGTTGCAGATTTGGACGAAGAAGAGGAGGGTCAACTCTCCGATCATGCTGAATTACAGGTGGATTCACCCCATGACAATATGTCCTTACACCCCCAAGAGGCGGTAATACCTGATGAGAGTCATCCATCTGATGACATAAAATAATTCCACAAGCTGTATAGGATGTAGCGGGTGGCTCTTGTCGCCACGTCGCCCTTTTGGTCACTGCCCTCCGGCAGTGACAACCATAGCCTCTAAGCTGGCCCCTTCCGGGGGAATAGTTCGTTGTAGGCCGGCAGGCCTTTAGGAGGCGGGTCCTCCGCCCTGGTACAGTGGATGGCTAGTCCGTCCTATGGCTCCACCGTGCCCTACAGTAGTCCGAGTCCTGGCCCTTTAAAGGTCCGGTCCGGATCGTGGCCGGGTGCAAAACCCTCATACGGACGCCCAG